TGAGCCCTTTATGTATTTTGGATATTAGCCCCTTACCCAGATACATTATTTGCAAATATCTTCTCCCATTTAGTAGATTCCTAGATTCCTTTTCATTTTGTTTATGGTTTCCTTTGTTGTGCAGTCTTTTTAGTATAATGTAGTCCCACTATTTATTTGCATTCGTTGCTTTTGCTCTTCATGTCAGATTTTAAAAAGTCATTGCCAAAACCTTTATCAAGTAGTTTTCTGCCTTTTTTTTTTTTTTTTTCTAGTTTTATGGTTTCAGGTCTAATGTGCGCATCTTTAATCCATTGTGTAAGATAGTGGTTAGGTTTTATTCCTTTGTATGTGGCTGTATCCTTTCCCCTTGTATATTCTTGGCTCCTTTGTTGTAAATTAATTGACCATACATGCATGATTTTATTTCTGGGCTCTTTATTTTGTTTCATTGATCTATAGGTCTGTTTTTATGTCAGTCTGTTACTGGTTTTAATTATTGTAGCTTTGTAATACAGCTTAAAATCAGGGTGCATGATGCCTCTAGCTTTGTGTTAGGTTATTAACTGGTTTGGTTTTTATCTTACAGATATAATGAATTATGTAACTGATTTTATTAACTCCTTTAATTTTCTAAAAATTTCAGAGCCACATTTGGAGTCTAATGCCAATATGCATGGGGTCTTTAAGATATGTCTTGGCTGTTTATCTTCTTGATGTTGCATCTTACTTGGTTTTTTAGCAGCAAGTAATAGAACATTTACAGTGACCTAACAGTAATGTATTGACTATCTCATATGACAAGAGGCATAAACATATGTAGTTCTGGGGGTTTTTTAGTGGCTTAACAACCCATCTATTTTATCCTTCTATCCCATCAGCATCTTTATGGTTTCCTTTTTTGTTCTTGTTAAGCTTGTTGGTGTCAATATTGTTGGAATGATACAAAGCATTCAGTATTGTTGGAATGATCCTAAGCACTTCATTTTAGAATTCAAAAGAAGAGAACAAGAGTTCTCTTCTTATTAGAAATGAAAAATTTTCTCATATTTTCACTCCGGTAGATTTTTCCGTTATCTTATGTCAAAACAGATGACAGAAATAGAACTCAGCAAGCATTTATAGAATATGAATATATAGTCCTTATTGAATTCATGTTCCTAAACCCAGTTATGTTAAGAGGTGATCTATATTTTATTTAGCAGTGAAATTTATATTCAGAAGTGACTTCGTAGCACTCAATGAAGTCAGTCATGATTGAGGGCCTATGCATATGTGCAAGGCACTAAGGTAGATAGTGGGGTGGAGAAGTCTGTCAAGGAGCATGAAAATAGCTTTAAGGCACAGTATTCACCTATGTGGGGATAAATAGTATGACATTAAAAGATGTCACAAGTGTCTAGTATGGACAGGAAGTAATATAAATAGGGATAGAAATTTCCATGGAAGAATCAGAAACTTCAGCTGGACTTACTATTATTATTATTATTTTTTTTTTACCTTATCTATATTTTACCTTTAGCTATTTAAGCATTAGTGTGGTTTTTCTCATTTATTCAATTTATTTGTTCAACAGATGTATTTACCTATTGGTATTAGGCATTGTTACAGACCCTATGGAGATGGCAGTGAGGAGAACAGACAAAACATATTCTTTAAGGAAGCTTGCATTTGAGTGGCAGGTGGGGAGAAGACAGAAAGTAAAAAAGTAAGCAAAAAAAAAAAAAAAGAAAACAAAACAAAACGCAACATTGTGATAAGTACTGTGAAAAAATACAAAGTAAGGTGAAACATTCAGAGAATAAAGGAGGTAGGGTAATGCTAGGTGACATTTTATTTTACTTTATTTTATTTTATTTTTTTAAGATTTTATTTATTTATTGACAGAGAGAGAGAGAGAGAAATCACAAGTAGACAGAGAGGCAGGCAGAGAGTGAGGGGGAAGCAGGCTCCCGGCTGAACAGAGGGCCCAGTTTGGGGCTTGATCCCAGGACCCTGAGATCATGACCTGAGCCGAAACCAGAGGCTTAACCCACTGAGCCACCCAGGCACCCCAAGATGACATTTTAATGACAATATGTAAGGAAGGTGGTAGTGGACATATATTTATTTGAGAGGAGAGCATGACAGCCTGAGGGAACAGAATACGCAGAGCCTGAGGTAGGAACATGCTTGGTTTGGGGACCAACAAGGAGACTAGTATGGCTTGTACAGAATTAGGGACTAGGATTGGTAAGAGGGGAGGAAGTTGCATAGAATACCAGGTAGGACTTGGAAGAACATGGGAAGGACTTTGGATTTTTTTTGTTTTTTTTTTTTTTAATGGTAGCAGTATGTTTTGTATGCTTTTGAATGCCTTTGTAGGTGGAACATTCCAGTTTGTCACAAGCCCTGAAGTTCTTCTATCTTCATTTATTTTCCCCCTTCTACCAACATCATTTACTTTTGTCTTATAATTTTATAGCTTCTTTGAAGCCTCCTTTACTCATTTATGTTTATTGGTATTGTTTCTCAAAGCATTCTCATTTAAAACCTTTGCCTTAGACTTACTGAATCTGAATCTCCCAGAGTTCGGCTTTACTCATCTCTCTTTAGAGACCTCCTTAAGTGAATCTGATCAGTCAGGTAGCGGCTGGAAAAGAGAAATCTTACTTATGAGTCATAGATCTTGGGTCAGCACCTTAACCTCTCTCATTTTCAGTTTTCTGTTCATAAAATTGATATTAAAATAATAATTCATCTCAAGTTGTAGTGATATAGAATAAGTGAGGTAGTATATAAAAGGCACCTGTGCCTGGCCTATAGTAGACATTCAGATAAATGTTTTCCGTTTTCCATTGGGAACCTTTCTTAAAAGTTTCATTTCTCTAAGCAGTTTTAAAGGATATTCCAAGTCAACCAATACATTAATTAGGACACTAACTGGTTTAACAAAATCAAATAACTAGTGGTTTAAAGAAGGAAGAAGTTGAACTAGCTCTAATACGAGATTCTAGACTGGTTTAATATGCAGGGGAGTTTGGTTCTAGGGATTAGGTGCTTTTATTGTTGTTTTATCTTTCCTTAGTCTGTTGTACTTTCTTACACGTCAGAGATGATTTATCTCTACTTTGACTGGGCTTCACCCATTAGAAGAAGGAAAGAGAAGTTTAAGATTAGGCAGTTTCCTTTCAAGGGCATAGTCTGGAATTTTCACCCATCTCATTTTCCAGAACTTACTACATGGCCATATCTAAATGCAAGGAGGCTGGAGCAGAGCGTTTCTAGCAGGGTAACCATTTACCCAGTAAAAACTCAGAGGGTTCTACCAAGGGGAAGATAGGGAGAATAGATATTGGAAGACAGTGGTTTCTGTCACAGTTAATATTTGCTTCGTATATCTTTTCATTCTCTGAGCAGCATTAATCCCTTGGTCATTCTAGCCTTAGAATTAGGTTTATTGTCCTATATTCCCAAATTAATTAATTTTAAAAAGTTATCTGGGTTACTTGTTCCTTTTCAGGTATCTTTTAGACTAGAGATGACTGGTCTTTTTCCGAATTTAATTCAGTGTCTTGGTCCTAATGTTTAATTCATCTATGCAAGCATGAATCCTACTTCTGATGACTCAGTTTCAACCTTACCTACTTTAAAACAATAAAATACTTCTCTAGATCTGGCCATTTTGTCTGAGGTTTGATATAATCTTTGTTTCCATTTATCATCATCTGTCACCAAGGTTTAGAACATCATGAGACAGCAGCTGTGTATGTGTGTGTGTGTGTGCGTGTTAATACAATCTCCTACCTACATTTTTGTTACTTTATTTTATTACTATATGAAGTAGTTATTATTAAATCCATTTTACAAATGAGTTAAGAGACCCAGAGATGTGTAGAAACTTTTTTAAAGTTGTAAAACCTGTAAATTACGGAGCTGACCCAAACCTGTGTCCAGGCTTTTGTATTTCCAAATTCTGTGATGTTACCCAGTGCTATATTGTGGCATCTGTGGATATCACACTACAGAATTGTATCATGTGCTTTTTTAATTTTTAAGGATACCTTAAATTTATTGTTGTTGTTGTTGTTGTTGTTGTTGTTGTTGTTATGTCCCATTCTGTTCTTATTCCTTTGCTTCTTTTTTATTGTCATGATTTCTCTTTGGAGTGTAAAACCCCACCTTACTCTAAGACACCCTTTTAACATAGCTTCTATTAAAAACTATATGGAGAACATATCTTTATTTCTTCTCCTTAGGACAGATCTAAAGAATGAACTCCCTGTTATTTTGTTGGCAGTTACAATGCAGTTTACATGTTTTGGTTATTTACAAATTATTTTTGTTTTTTACAGAGTAAATTCCTTCCCTTCCCTCCCCTCTCCTCCCCCTACTTCCTTCCTTCCTTCCCTACTCTTTGTAAAGAGTAACACATTAGGTTAGTATCATGAAGGATGGTTGTGAGAGAGCTCTGTTTTCCATTTGAGGTTTTAGAGTTATATAAAAAGTTAAAGGTGATACCTAATGTGTTCATTTGACAGGACCTGGTTTTCTTAAACATTTTTGTCCTAGGTAGAATATGTCCATGCATTCATTGCTAGCCAGTTAAAAATGCTCCACTTATGTGTGTTGGCTAGTCCTGTATTTTTTGGTTATATTGTCTTGTAATATTAACCTGTGTATGCATAACTTTAATATTTAATAATGCCTAAGATTATTAAAATCCTACTTGTTTTAAACACTGACTGTTTTTCAGGTATACAAGTTTAACTAAATACAATACATAAGATTTAATTACAGTATCTTAAAATCTACAAGGCCCTTAAAAGAAAAAAGTGGTTGTTAATTTGAAGTTATATATAAGATTAAGTTTCAAAAGTAGCAATTTTTATCATTATGGGCAAAAATAACTTTTATAATTTATCTTAGAGATATCAACACTGTAGGAAATTCTTCAAAAAAGAAATATTAGCTCTTATGTTAGGTTGTTTATGACCCTTTGTAGTAAAAATGTTCCCTCCGCCCTTCTGTTTTTTGTATAGGATATAGCAGATCCATTTTTTGCTTATTGTAAGCAGCATGCAGATAGGTTAGACAGAAAATGGAAGAGAAAAAACTATTTGGCTCTACAATCCTATTGTAAAATGTCTTTGCAAGAGAGGGAGAAGCAACTGTCACCAGAAGCACAGGTATGGGATTCATGCCAAAATCATGTTTTTTCTTTCAAGGTTATGGATTTCGGCTCTCATATGTGTGTGCCAGCGACATGTGAAATGTATTTATGAAATGTGGTTAGTTACCTAGGAAGTGGATTGTAATTAAGGTATATGGTGAGTGTAGTTTGTAGCTGATGAGTACTCCTCATCTGGTCAACAGAGCAGCCTTTTATGAAGCGCATTTCCAAATACAGTGAAAAATGTGGCTTAGAGGAAATTATTCTATCAGTGCAGTATGTTGACCATATCTTTTTTCAGTTTGATCCATTGTTATTTATGTAAAGGATCTGATCAGTTTGCCTATCTTTTAAAATGTATTTCTAGGTAAATTAAGATGAATTTATAGAGACTTGCAGTTACTAAAGAGAGAAATTTCTGTTTAATCAAATTAGTTCTGACAAATCTGATCATAGATTAGAACCTAGAATAGTTAGTAGGAGTAGACCTACTTTATTGTAACCCAAGAATAATACAGTGTATCTTAATAACTGTGGATAGGTATAACTTGCCTTGATACAGGAAATTCTGGTTATCTGTACTTTCTCTAAGCATGCAAGTAGAAATCAGAGGGAATATGTTACATTTTAGTATCTTTTAAAATTTGTATGCATTTCTTTTATAGGCAAGGATCAATGCCCGGCTTCAGCAGTATCGTGCCAAAGCAGAACTAGCTCGATCTACCAGACCTCAGGCCTGGGTTCCAAGGGAAAAATTGCCCAGACCGCTCACTAGCAGTGCTTCAGCCATTCGTAAGCTGATGCGGAAAGCAGAGCTAATGGGGATCAGTACTGATATCTTTCCAGTGGACAATTCAGATACTAGTTCTAGTGTGGACGGAAGGAGAAAGCATAAGCAACCTGCTCTCACTGCTGATTTTGTGAATTATTACTTTGGTCAGTATAGACACTGATATATGCACATTGTCAATGAGAACAATTTGCTATTAGAAATATTTGTTATACTGTCAATTTTTAGAAATTTATTAGCCATGCTACATATATTAAATAAATAGTATATTTATTTTCCTAATAAGTTGTGGGTTGTTGTAAAATGCTGAGTTCCTGTGTTTGTGAAGAGGGTTAAAGTATTGTAAACAATGTAAAATTATCCATGTGATCATCTTTATGGCTAGCTTCTTCCGTTGTGTGTTTTGTATATCAGTTTTTATTTTCTACTAAAGTAAAATTGGATATTTAATTTAAATAGAGAGAAATATGCGCATGATTCAAATTCAGGAAAATATGGCTGAACAAAAGAATATAAAGGATAAATTAGAGAATGAACAGGAAAAGCTCCATGTGGAATATAATAAGGTAAGTTGGCTACAAAACAACATAATGTCATAGACCTGTTGATGATGTCATTTGTGATTTTAGAGAATTTCTATTTATGTCTTATTTTGAAATTATTATGAAGTGTTTAGGCCCTTCTCTACACTTCCTACTCTTACTGGCTTCATTATCATCCCTAACACTAAGTACTTCCTATGTGCTACGTACAATTTGGGCATGTTACATATATTAACTGATATAATTTTCACCTCAGTTTTATGTGAGCTGTAATTATGGCTCCCATTTTTAGAGAAGAAAACTGAATCCTAGGGAGGTGAAGTTACTTGCCTAGACTCACGTAGCTAATCAAGTTATAGAGTTGGGATTTGAGGCCAAACAGTCTGACTCCGTCCCTTGTTCCTAACTAGTGTACTATAGAACTTCTCTTTCTAAGTTTGTAGAAAACTTAGAAACTTCCTTTAAATTACTAGTTTTATCTTGAATTGTTTTGTAATGTTACTTTTGATTTAAGAAAAATAACCTCCCAATTTAAATTTCCATTCTACATCTTCATTGTAATGATGAGGGAGATCAAAAGAAATATCCTATAAAAGAAGGTGTAGCTAAAATATTAGGTAAAAAGTAACACGAGCATATAAAGCTGATGTTGACTTATTGTTAGATAACATTTTAAGTATAAAAAATTAGTAAGAGATATGTTTCCAATATCAGCCACACCGTAGTGAAAGAAAAGAGTACTGGGATTATATTCAGAAGACCTGGGGATTCTTGCTAGTTCTATATCTTGGTCAAGTCACAGAAACCCTATGATCCTTAGTTTTCTTATTGAGAAAATGGTGGAAATGCATCTTCATAGACTCAAGGATTAATTAGCAGAATGTGTCTGAAATTATTTAGTAAACTATAATGGGATGATAAATATAGGTATTCTTACCGGTAAAAATGCTTACATGAAACAAAATGCTTACATCTTATTGGTACTGCTTATTCAATAATTGGATAGCCTCCTCTTCAGGGTTTTGTGACTTAAATATGTTTAAAAATACAGACTAGCAATACAGATACTCTTGGACATTTGTTGATAAATTATTTAAATTTCCCCATGTTTTACTGTGTATTGTAATGGTTTACTGATATGGATTATTTACATTGTAGCTATGTGAATCTTTAGAAGAACTGCAGAATCTGAATGGAAAACTTCGAAGCGAAGGGCAAGGAATATGGGCCTTACTAGGCAGAATCACAGGGCAGGTTAGTTTCTTTCCAATTGCTGTCTCCTATTCTTACTCTGTTATTTTCAAAGATCAGATTTCTGATACAACTTTCCTCACTAAAAAATTCTGTTTGATTAGGGGCAACTAATCCTCTGTGGTAATGATAATGCCTGAAATACATGTAGAGCATCGAAAGCTGCCTACTGGGAACCTGTAGCCTAATTTGGTTGTTTTAACAGCTATCTTGTTTACAAAACTTTTTCATTGGCTCTAACTAATTGACCTGTCATTTGAGATGAAGCTAAGATTAGAAGCATGAGTTACTCCTATCAAATTCTTATCTCTAATTTAGCAGTTAGACTCCTTGCCACATTTTTTTTTTTTTTTTTTTTTTTTTGTATCCTGTTCTTCTGTTATATTTAGTTCCTTCTTTTTAGGTGTAAAATTTAAAAGGCAAACTAGAGAAATTTGTTTTTATATTGATTTAGTTTTGAGCTGCCTAAGATATGGGTTTTGAAACTTTAATGTTAAAGGATAGTTTTTTACCTGCAGTAAATATCACTGGGGTAATGACAAAAATTATTTTATCCTTGAGCATTTTTAGCCTGTTAAAGTTCTTGGTGTTGAAAAGAAGAATCATTGCCAAATAGTAGTTTCTTTGAATGCCTTTTCTTTTTTTTTTTTTTTTTTTTTAAATTTATTTATTTGACAAAGAGAGATCACAAGTAGATGGAGAGTCAGGCAGAGAGAGAGAGAGGGAAGCAGGCTCCCCGCTGAGCAGAGAGCCCGATGCGGGACTCGATCCCAGGACTCTGAGATCATGACCTGAGCCAAAGGCAGCGGCTTAACCCACTGAGCCACCCAGGCGCCCTGAATGCCTTTTCTTTTAGTACTGTGTGTATAACACATAAATTAAAAATTCATTCAAGTAATTTCAATTATATTTTAAAAGGATGTTGGAGACTCATTGTGGTCCTTTTACAAGTAATTAATTAAGTAATCTTAAGTAATCTTAATTGTGAAGGAGGCTTATCAATGAAGAGATATTTTTCATTGTACTTGTTTCAGAGGTTTAAGAAGGGTCAAATTTATCATACAGTTCATGTAGACTTAATATTTTAGAAGATAATAAATACTGATATGTATTGTGCTATGCTAGCTTTAAAGATGCTTCTTTTGTGAACAGGATGTATGTGGCTTATATTAAAATGAATAACATAATTTAAGAGGTGAGAATGAGTAGTCACTTTGGTGATTTTCTATTGATAGGTGACTTTCTATTGATAGGTTGTTGATGGATTTCTCTTAATAGGTGACTTTCTATTGATAGGTTGTTGATGGATTTTTGAGAGATTATGATGTTTGATATTTAGAGAAGTTAATGTTGAGTACAAGACTATTATTAGTTTATTTACCAAGCTAGCATTATCTTTTGGTTTGATTTGCAAGACTGTCTCTTAAGAATCTCCTACTTAGTGTAAAAAATTATCTGCCATAAAAGGGTGTTTTCATTTATTAAATGACTCTTAACAGAAGTTCACAAATTTCCTTGTGTAAATGTAAAATACACAGAAGTAGAATTCATTTGTACCATTTGCATGACACTTTTTTCCAGTTGGTTGAACAAATGCCGGCCCACTGGGCCACTGAGAAATGACTTTGATAGATGGTTGCTGTCTCAGAAGCCAGCATACTACAGATTAGTAGAAGACCAAAAAGAATCTCATTCGCTTTGTGGAGAGTTTGGTCCAATAAGATAATTTTTCTAATTAACCTATGGACCACCAATGTAGCTGAGATGTTGAGGAAAATAAACGGCTTCAATATTCTTCTTGTCAAGTATATTGTGTGAGGCTTTTTTTTTTTTAAGCTCTTAAATGATTGTCCTTGTCTTTCACTTTTCAAAGCTGAAGTAGAAGTTTAATTCTCATAATATTTTAGTGTTTCACCGAAAATTGAAAGTATGTAATTATATGTTTCTTTTTCTTTTTTTTAAAAGATTTTATTTATTTATTTGACAGTGAGAGACACAGTGAGAGAGGGAGCACAAGCAGGGGGAGTAGGAGAGGGAGAAGCAGGCTTCCTGCAGAGCAGGGAGCCCGATGTGAGGCTGGATCCCAGAACCCTGGGACCATGACCTGAGCCGAAGGCAGACGCTTAACGACTGAGCCACCCAGGTGCCCCTAATTATAGGTTTCTAATGGAAGTAACCAAAAAACTCATTTTAATTTTTTTTGCTGGTGTAATAGCTGGTAAAACATTTCTCCCTCACAATTCTAGCGTATTTAGTTGACTTGAGTGGCAAATAGAGGAGAATGTTGCTTTATATTTTTTCTTTAAAACAAAATAAACTGCATTTGTTCAAATCAATAGAAGTTGAACATACCGGCAATTTTGCGAGCTCCCAAGGAGAGAAAACCAAGTAAAAAAGAAGGAGGCGCACAAAAGACATCTATCCTTCCTGCAGTACTTTATAGGCAAGTAATAAAATAAGTTAATATTGTGTTTTTTTAAACTCGTGCTTTTAATAACAAGGTGCTTCAAATATTTGTGAATGAATTATGTCCATACTAGAATTTATGTTAAATGCATTTGAAGTTCATTTTGTGAATAGTTTCATCAAAGATGCTTTTTAGGTTGAATGACAGAAGAGATTTTTGCTCTCTTTTAATGATAAGTAACTTATATCCTTTAAATAGGTGGATATGTATGTCCAAAAGTTCCGTGGAAGTGAATAGTCAGTCCTCTTTGGAGAATTGGAAAGTGACTTTAAATAATGTAGATAATAATTTTCTTAAATAATTAAAAGGATATATAAATATACATTTATATTTTATTTTACTTAAATGAGTTCTAGAGCTTTGCATGTGTTTTTAATTGGTGATAGTTATTATATACAGTCTGAATTCCTGCCTTTGTACAGTGGTGGATGATGAAGATAATTTCTGGATTTGCATCTGTCTTTATTTTTTTCTGTGCTCAGTTGTAATAATTTTATTTACAGAAGTGTTTTGGTTTTTTTTTTACTTGTCTCAGTAGTTTATAGTGTTCACCATTTATAGTAATTTTACATAGCCTAGACTTCTTTCCATATATGAATAGGTTGGGATCTTACTTTTTTAATGTAACTGAGCATATTAACTGGGGAAGGTTAGAAGATGCTAGTGTATTTATGTGTGCATATATATATATATATATACATACAAATGTATATATTCACATATATACCTATATATACTTATATAAATACATAAATATTCTCCCCACAACTTCTTCCTTTCTCAGAAATAGCAAGAGTAATAACATCAACCTCCATAATTATTTGTCATTCTTGGTTGGAGACTCCCTCCGTAGGTAATAGCAGTTGACTTCCTTGAAATGTGGGAAAAGCCGACTAGTGTTTTAGTGTACAGTATGCAGACTAGCACATTCTCAGCCCAGCTTTTCTAAACAAAGTTGGTTCATTTGGAACCATCACACATAACACAGTGCTTCTGACTTAACACTCATTCATTTTTGTTCCAGAATGTATTTTAGATGATTTTCCTTTTTTAACTCTGAGCAACATTGAGACGAAATATTAGTTGTTGTTGCATTTATATGATTTTTTTTCTAGGATAATTTAAAAATTCAAATATCATTGTTTCTGTACATTGATGGATGGCTCTTATAGATTCTCAACTTTTCCTTCACTCTTTATATTCCCAATATAAAAAAGACCTAGATTTTCAGGTCAAGGGCTTGTGCTCTAGGAGTGTTATGTTGCTTTTTTGCACAAGAGAAGTTGAATTCCTTGAAAACAAACAAAAATCGAAGTAACAGTTAACATCAATAGTAAAACACCCCATTCTTTGCAATAAATATCAATTGGTATATTTTGAAGACTCAGAGTCAGATTTTGGAAAGAGTCTTACTTATAAATTTAGCTTATTTTTATGTTTAAGACTCTTTGAAAAGTTTGTAATTAATGATAGAAAATAAATTGAATTTCGTTTGTAAGTTAACTTCTTTGGTAGTTTTAGAGAAGTAAAAAATTGGAAAGTTTTTTTGTTTAATAGCTACCTTTCTAGAGAAAAATTAAGCTAATATTAAATGAGTTTAAGTGATAATTAAAATTGAGATGGTGATGATGTTGAGAATGCTATCTTATATATGACTTTCTCTGAAAGGTTTGACTCTAGAGCAATATTTATATTAGATCCAGCTATTTTTCTATAGTCTCAAAAATATTTTGAACTAAAAAGTAGTGACATTATAAAAAAGTATGTGTTATGAGAAGACATTTGATTTTAACGGAAGAAATTTTAAGTTAAGGTGAAATTTTGAAATTAAAAAAATATGCTATGAATAGCTGTTTCACTAAGATTACTACAATTCTAATCCTTTATTTGCTGCCTTTATTCAAAGTTGTGGAATTTGTAAGAAGAACCATGATCAGCATCTTCTTTTATTGTGTGATACCTGTAAACTCCATTACCACCTTGGATGTCTGGACCCTCCTCTTACGAGGATGCCAAGAAAGACCAAGAACAGTTACTGGTAAGTAAAATGAAAGAGATTTTATTTATTTATTTTTTTTTAAAGGTTTTTTTTTTAAGATTTTATTTATTTATTTGACAGACAGAGATTACAAGTAGGCAGAGGCAGGGGAAGAGAGAGAGAGAGAGAGAGAGAGGAGGAAGCAGGCTCCCGCAGAGCAGAGGGTGGATGTGGGCCTCAGTCCCAGGACCCTGGGATCATGACCTGAGCCAAAGGCAGAGGCTTTAACCCACTGAGCCACCGAGGTGCCCCTGAAAGAGATTTTAATATTAGAAATGATTTGCTCTGTGTTTCAACAGTGTAAGATGATGTTATATGTCATATTGCTTCACAATAAACTTTTCAGCACATTTTTTCACTGATTTTTTTATAAATATGTTTCCAACTTTAAGTATAATTGACAATTAAAAACTACATATATTTAAGATATACAACTTAATGATTTGATATACATATACATTGTGAAGTAATCACCATAACGAAACTAACTAACGTATCCATCACTTCACTTAGTTTCCATTGTCTTTTTTTGTGGTAAGAACACTTTGGTCATAAATATTTATTATTATATATAAATAAATCTGTATCTGTTTTTTTGACAAATGAATATTGAGTTAATTGAAGCTATCGTGGTGTCTTAGCAATGGTTAAAGCATGAATTCTGTCTCCTATATTAGTTGTATTTTACTTTATACGAATTTCTGAAATGCTTTATTTTTATTTTGAAATTGAATGAATTTATCAGGAATTTGCCTCCTTACTCATCCTTTTATTGCTGTTTAATATTTTTAAATAGTTTCACTGAAGGCTTTACTTTTAGTGTTTTTCATTTGTGCTAGTTATATTTATGTTCAACCAATCTAGAAACATTTGACATATGTTTTTAATTTTTTTCATTAATTTAGGTATATTACATTACTGCAGATATTTGATAAAAGCTTATGTATGATGAATTTTATCCTTTCCTTAATTTTAGTCCAAGGGAGAGACAAATCAGTTTTAATATGATGATTCTATATAGGAAGAATATAGAACACAGAAAGTTTTGGAATAAATCTCAGTATTCTTAGGCAAATTGCCTTTCTACACTTACTTTTATTTTTATTTTTATTTTTATTTTTTATTTATTTGAGAGAGAGACAGAGATAGTGACAGAGATAGCAAGAGAGAGGATGACCAGGGAGGGGAGGGAGAAGCAGGCTTCCCGCCAATCCCAGGACCCTGCGATCAGGACCTGAGCTGAAGGCAGATGCTTAACCGACTGAGCCACCCAAGTGCCAACCTTTCTACTTTTAGAAAAGAGTAGACCCCAGGTTCTTAAATGCTAATCTATATGAAAAGTTGTGTGTTTGTCAAACACAGTAAGCATGTTTTTTAACCTTATTGTTTTATGTTATAAAGCATCTCTGTTTATTTTACCGGGAAGCTTACATTCTTTCACCATTTTCACAGGAATGCTTTTTCATAGTATTCTTTTTTTTTTAGAAGATTTTATTTATTTATTTGTCAAAGAGAGAGTGCACAAGCAGGGGGAGTGGCAAGCAAAAAGAAAAGCATGCCCCCCACTAAGCAAGGAGCTGGATGCAGGACTTGATCCCAGGACCCTGAGATCACAACCTGAGCCAAAACCAAGAGTCAGACTCCTAACAAACTGTGCCAACCAGCTGCCCTATAAGTGGATGTTTATAAATTGAAAGCCTGTTTGGTAGTCTCCAGGGCTAGTGTGCTAGTCATGATCTTTGACATGGAGATGTGCAGTTATGAACTTTTCTAATACTGCTCTGCCTGCAGAGCTCTGGTTTCCATTAAATTTCTGGAAGAACTTCACATAAACTGCCTTGCCTGGAATGTTTTAGGGAAAGGTCTCCCCCAAAGACCTAAAACTATTTAGGGTCCTATGCATTGGTTACAGTGATTTAAAATAAAAGAAGCTAATACCATGGCAAAGTGAAGTCTTCAATATCTTCTAGTTTTTAATAATCAAATTTCTTTTGGCCTCTGAAGTCAACTTAGTTTTGCTTAACACTTAATTGAGTGTATTAGTTTTAGAGTAAGTGTCATGGAATTATATTTTTCTTTAGTGTATCTCAGTTGTGAGAGGCACTTTTTGCTTTTTAACATTTTTAGTTTAATTTTGAAGTTATATTAAAGATAATAATTATTAAAGCAATTTCACTTCCCAAATATTTTATTATTACCTTTACTCTTTTCCTAAGTCTATTATATATGTATGGTAGAAAAACTGTCTAATGGTATGCTACTATACATTTTTTACCCATTCTGCATTCTCTGATGCCATATTGGTATTTTGAAATTGACCATGCTTAGTAGTATGCATGATACAGAAATTAGCAAATGCTAGAAATAATGACTTTTTCCCATAGAGAATTAGGTATTAGATATTTACTAGCACACTACTGCCTAACCTCTGCCTAGGTTCCATTTAGTTCTTCTTAGTCTTTTTCTTAGGAAAAGAGGTCCTAGAAAGGTCCTTTTGTCTTAGGGAAAGGGTTCCTGTACCCTTATCTCATGACTGGGCTCATTATTGGCTTAAATTTATACGGAGCCTACTGGTACACATTTTTGAATGTCACCAATTACTCCTTTTCTTGTCTTTATGCTATGTGTATTTGGTAACACCCTTTCTACTATATACCCCTTATGTTCACTGCTAGCCAAAATTACTACGTAATCTTCCCTTCTCAAATAGCGTGTTCTGCTTGGTAGACTGTTCTAAGCACCTCCTGTTCAGTTTTTTTTTTTTTTTTCCTTCTAGTACCAGTACTACTTTTGGGAGTTACTAGTTTGAGATCTGGATGCTTTCTGTTTGGTCCATACCACAATAGTTCACTGCTTATCTTGGACTAATTTAAGACATGTGACAGGAAAGAATAAAGATACAGAGGTAATTATTGATGGAAAGTAGGAAAGTTGAATAAGCTCACATTAGACAGGCTCTGACTTTTCAGTGAAATAGAAGCAGTCTGTGGAAAGGGAAAGGAATTGGGTTGATGATGGTGGCTTAAGAAGATAGGAGATAGTTTCCGATAGTTACTATGGAAAAAAAAAAAATCACAGATGACTTGCTAATGTTCTATACTAAGAATGTTTGTGAATTGGTTTAATAAGTGTGATTAATTGATCTTTCTCCAATAATGCTTAGCTGTCCAGGAGCAGGAGAGGGAAAAACCCAGGGACTTCTTATGTTGGGTTAGGAATGGGCAAATCAGATGAGAATGCTAGTTGGGTGAGGAATTTGGCAAGGGATAAAGAGGCTAATGAAGGTATGATCTAGGCTCCATTTTGTTATTACTTACTCCCATTGTTTGAAATTTATTTTGTCTTACTCTTAGTTTATATTATTTTGGTTTGTTCCTTTTTAAATATATAATGTTGCACACTGCCTTATAGTCTTCCCAGATAAGCCTGATAGGTATATAAATGAAGTAGTAAGGGTTTGATTTATTAGAGTAGCTCAAATAATACATATTTCTTTTTTTTTTTTTAAAGATTTTATTTATTTGACAGACAGAGATCACAAGTAGGCAAAAGCAGGCGGTGGGTGGGGGGAAACAGGCTCCCTGCTGAGCAGAGAGCCCAATGCAGGGCTCAAATGCAGGGCCCTGAGATCATGACCTGAGCCAAAGGCAGAGGTTTAACCCACTGAGTGCCCCATAAATACTTCTTTTAGAGTAATCTTATGTTTCTATCACCGTCTGATCAGAATTTTTCTTGCCTTTTCTAATTAAAGAATATTCTGGGGAAAAAAAAAACCTGAATATTCTGAAGAGTATTATTTGACAGATAATTGAGTAATATTTATTATATCCTTTTATTCTTTGGGTATGCCTTTGTTTATTCTTTTAAGAGAAAAGAAAATCTATAGCACAGACCTTTCAGTTAATAATTTATAGGTTTCTCCCCCATTTTTCTTAATAATTTATCCTTCCCTTCTTCCATTAACTCTTTCTTTTTATCAAGAGATAATTGACATATAACCTTGTATTAATTTTAGGTGTACAGCATAATGATTTGATGTATATATTGTGAAATGATTACCACAGTAAGTTTAGTTAACATCCATTGTAATACATAGTTAAATGTTTGTTGTTTTTTTTCCCCCTAATGATAAGGACTCTTAAGATGTATTCTCTTAGGGGCACCTGGGTGGCTCAGTTGGTTAAACAGTTAAGTGGCTGGCCGACTCTTGATTTCAGCTCAGATCATGATCTCCGGGTCCTGGGATGGAGCCTCGTGTAGGGCTCCACAATTGGGGTAGAGTCTGCTTGCTTGTGCCTCTCCCTCACCTCTCCTAACACAACTCATGTGCATGTGCTTGTGTGCGCTCTCTCAGTTAAAGAAATAAAATCTTAAAAAAACAATATTTCTCCAAATATACAATATAGTATTAATAACTATAGTCACCATGTTGTATATTACATCCCCAGGACTTATTTATTGATTTATTTATTTAGAGAGAGAGCGTGGTGAGAGGCACGGGAGAGAGAGAGAGAGAGAATCTTAAGCAGCCTCCATCTTGAGGCTCCATCTCACGACCCTGAGATTGTAACCCAAACTGAAATTGAGAGTCAAATGCTTAACAGACTGAGGCACCCAGGCACCAGCCCCCTTTTAAGAATTATTTATTTATTTATTTATCTATTTGTATATATTTATGTTTTAACTGGAAGTTTTTACCTTTTGACCACCCTTACCCTTTTGCATCTCCCCAACTCTCCACCTCCCTGACCCCAGCCTCTGGCAACCACCAGTCTGTACTCTTTATTTATGAATTTGTGGGTTTAAAAAAAAAATAGTCCACATAAGGGGCGCCTGGGTGGCTCAGTGGATTAAACCTCTGCTTTCAGCTCAGGTCATGAATTTAAGGTCCTGAGATTGAGTCCCACATCAGGCTCTCTACTTAGCGGGGAGCCTGTTTCCCCCTCTCTCTCTGCCTGCTGCTTTGCCTACTTGTGATCTCTCTCTATATATATTCAATA